CCACATATCACATTAAAAAAACATTAGAAGTGGTTTGGCGCACTGGGAACGGTTTGATTTCCTAACCTTAAGATCGTTGTTTCAATCAATCGTTGTGCGTTTCACTTGTCTCCCTGAGCAGGGCACTTTATCTGTATTACTTCTCTCCACCCAGGTGTATAACTGGGTACCTGAGGAGGTTCAAGTGCAAAATGCGCTGATATATTTCATGTAGCAAACTATGGAATTTACCCATAGGCATCGTTTCAATGACTGAGGTAATAATGTGGAAAAGCGACAATGTCTGCGTGCTATCCCATATGTATATCTTGTTTATACCATATTTCTGCCTTATCGTTTACAATTTTTATAAACAATATTTATATTTTTGATTACAGTATATCATAGCGCTGATGGTCATGTTTGTTATCGAAATTATAGGGGGCGTTACAGCTTTGTCTTTTTACACACAGGTATAGTAAACGACTCCAGAAAACATGACAGTTTTTAATACATTACTTAATAACACTTATAAAATACAGACGATAACAAAACGTACGCTGCATTATTGTTTGTTTTTAATTCGTCTTAAAGTTCAACAGAACTATTAAAAATTCGCGCTTGAAACTACGAAGAAATGGGCATTATAGGTTATTTAAATGTGTTATGCAAAATAATGTAAACCTGTATTTTTAGTAGTATTCACTTTTAATGGAAGAATGTGAAGCTTTGTTCACACTGCCGAGCTACATTTTGCAAATGCAAATGTGCTCAAATGTGCTAAATTTTTACATGCTAAATGTTACACTTGACAGTGTGGACTACAACGCAATTAAACATCATTTACTTGTATTCTTTGTACTTCACCTTTAATAATTAATTTTTACACGAATTCATAAATACATTTATGAGCTTACAAAAAGAGATATTAACATCAATAAAAACGTGGAAATACAAGTGTCGAGGCCAAAAAAAAAGCATAACTTGGCCCCGCAGTGAGACACGCCTATACCAAAATAAGAACTCCAAAACACAAAATACGTCTTCAAGTTGATCGCAGTTATTTTATTTGTGTGTGTGTTATTTTAGTAGTTGCTGACGGAAAATATGGTAAAATAAATACGGTAATTTTATGGTACAACTGATCATTTGATTTATTATTAATCATCATAGAACCAAAAATCGTTTATTTATTCAGGGAACAAATGATTTGGAGCGAGTGATGTTAGAAACCGTACAACATGGGTTCGGGATTGGAGGTAATGAAAACGCCCAAGAGGATAACACATTCGCATGGAATAATGTTCAAGAGCAGGTATGTCAACATTATTATTTATATTATAAAGTAAATAGTACCAACGGCAAGTTTACAAATAAACAATAGGTTTTGACATGATGAAGATTATTGATATGTCTGGACGCAGCGCCCACAATGGCGTACAGTATCTGCAATGTAAGCATCTGTACCTTAAAGAATATTCTTCAAAAAAGAGCCGGCAATTGTCTCTCGGTTTACTGCTCAGTTCACTACCGGAGGGATCCAGAAATAAGCCTTCGGGCTGCCGTGTCATTCTTCTTCGTGTTTCACACAAGAAATCTAATCCAATTTACGTTAATATTGAGATTTTTTTTTTGAACACTTCTTTTCAGTATGATTGTTGTGGAGTAATAACCGGCCAGTCTGGACCTCCAGTGTACCTATATTCACAATGGTGGAGAGACCAACCTGTTATATCACGTGCTAAAGTTCCTTTGTCTTGTTGCAAAGAAGGAAGCAATGGAGAACCAGAAGATCCAAGCCACTGTCAAAGTGAGACTACGGACTACAGTCAAGTGTACAGCACGGTAACTTACCAATTATGAAATGTAGTCCTATCCAAAATTTAATAAAACTAAGTTTACAAGATAGTATAATACATACTCCAAGTATCGAAATGCACGCCATAGATCGGGAATCAATATTTTGACATTAATTATGTCACGTGTCGAGATTCAATATTTCGACATTAATTATGTCATCATCATTGATTCCTGAAGATAACATAATTAATGTCGAAATATTGAATCCCGACACGATGGCGTGCATTTCCATACTTAGAGTATGTATTATACTATCTTATTCGAGATTAATCAGTGGACATTACGGTCTAAGTTTACAACAATGTCGTAATCGTGGAGCAGACACTCCGAAGATTGCATAGGCCTACCTCCGCCCTCTGTGCCTTGATACCCAACAAATACGCAGGCGGTGTAGGACTATGGGCGATTACATTATTTTCTGTTATGCTCGAGGTTTAAGTTCAAG